GGTACACCCACACGTCGGGGTGGCCGCCGTCGTTTGCGGTGGGGATGCCCTTGAAGTCGCACTCGGGGCCCTTGTAAGCGCTGGGGGACCAGGTGTTGGCAGCCCAGTTGATGGCGGCAGCGGCGGCCCTGGCGCACTCCCTGAGCTTGGCGATGCGCGTGCCCAGGTGGACGTGCAGCAGGTGCCTGGTGCGGTGCGCAAAGTCGTTGACGGCGAGGCCGACGGGCTTGGCACCGTTGGTGTAGAAGGTGGAGCTCCAAGGATTGGCGTTGCTGCTGGCGGACGACCACAGCTGCGGGTTTGGGGGTGGGGTTGGCAGCAAGGGGCGAACAGCGGGGGTGAGCAGGGGGCACGGATCGATGGGTGGCGGCTGCTGCGACATGCTGCGTGATTTTTGCGCCTGAGCCCGCAGCATACGACGAGCGGGTCGTGCGTGTCCGAGTCAGCGTGGTCAACTTCATCTGCACCCAACTAACAGCAGGCAGCGCCCTGTCCCCCACCAGCTCTGCACCTTGGCAAAGATGGCGTTGTAGGGTTGACCCTGGGTGGTGCCCATGGCGAGGGATTCGATGCCGCTGGCGGCGTCGGCGGCGGAGTGCAGCACGTCAGGGACCGCCTTCCACTTTGGGAAGGCGGCGTTGGCAATCCCGTCCCGCAGCAGCAGGACGCCGCCGGGGCAGTGCGCCGTGTTTGCGCAAGCGGATGCGGAGTCGGCGTAGAGGTCGCAGGGCTCGTTTGGTTTCTGCTTGCAGCCGGCGTTGGCCTGGGAGGCGCACGTGCCGGCGATGCGTGCCAGGCAGTAGGTGCTGCTACCAGGGCGGCACTCGGCGTCGCATTTGCCGGCGGAGGCGCCGGGCGCGAGCGCGAGGACGCATGCGACGGTCAGCGCGCACAAGGCCTGGGATCGCCACATGATTCCTATAGCCGAATCGTAAGTTGATAGGGAGGACGAGGAGGGGTGGTGGGCTTGATGAGACGTGCTGTGACCTCGATAAGCAGAAGTGGGTACCTCAGCCTGGGTGACAGTGCCACCAGTGTGCACCAGTCGTGCAAAGCGCTGGCAAAAGTGTCAAATGTGGTCCATAGCATGGAAATCCTAATTAAGACTCACTTACTCGCTTCCAAGACAGTGAGAAGGCGACCGCGCGGATGATCTCCGAAATGGTCGGTGTTTCTTCCTGGGTGGCTTGTTTGATTTTCGTGGTATGCTACCGTGGTATAGCACTTCATCATTTGAAGCACTTCTTAAAGCCGCACAGGACTTATAAAAGCGTCATGAGGCTGAGCAGCAGAAGAGCGACGAGCTGTGCAAACATCTGTCATCCGTAGTCCGAGGCGCGTGGTCTCACCTAACACCGTGATGGGTCGCGCTGCGGGCCTGGCACACGGGATCCCAGGCTGTGTGAATCAGAGCAGGGGTACGCTTTTCCTTTGTCTCGAGTACAACCAGTTGTGGTGAGCATCTGATTGCCGCCAGCCACAGCGCTTCATACAGTGGGCGCGGGGCAGCACCTCACGCGCCTTGCATTGGACATTCCCGGATGGGGCTGCATAGTGCGCTGTACGGCGCGACGTAAGTCACTCACGATCTAGTGACCCTCCCTGCCCTCCAGCCACGCGAAGCAGCCCCGTGTACCGCAGCCCCCAGTGACCCCGTCCAACGCAAGCGTTCGAGCTATGTTGCCCATCTACATCCCTCGCCGCGCGCGGCGCACCCTCTTTGAAACGCAGCATGCCTACACACTCTAGCTCAGAACAGCGGAATCAGCTCAATAGTCAACAAGGCTTCACCCCATCAAGATCACAGGCCCTGGGCCGGGATGCCACGTCATGCATGCAGTACGGTATTACAAGTTCGCGAAGTCATGCAGAATTGCACTTTTGCTAAGCAATGAGTTTATAAGCGAGACGAGTTGGTGATTGGATTTCCTCATGCCTGAGGTTGAGAGCATCATGTGCGTGCCTGCCGTTTCTTGCAAGTTCTTGTGGGTCTTCGTGGCACCACCACAACAGGAGCAACAAACAGCAATCAAGGGCGCCGGCATGTACCATGGAACAAGTAGAAAGAAGCTCAACCTCAAGTGTACCGCCCTGTGAGGTGCCACAACGCACTCAGCCGACGTCATTGGCTCCGCTTGTCAGCCACCAGCAGGACCCGCTACTGCTAATCACGACGACTCCAAAAACTGGTACTCGCCAGTGTTGCGCTTCCCGGCTGCATTGGCCAGCAGGATGGCGAAATAGTTTTTGCCCTGGTTGGACACCCGGGTGACGGCCAGCGACGTGTGGTGTGCCGGGATGTCTGTGGTGGACGGCGGCGCCTTGAGCGACTGCAGCGGCCCCTTGTTGAAGGCGGCCCAAACCGCGGAGCCCACACCCATAGGCGCGCCGCCGCTGGCCGGCGCTGGGTCAA